TCTTTGCACCTCCTCCACTAGAATTGCCTCCCCTGTTCTTCTTTTTCTTTCTTCTCTTCTGCCGACCACTTCTCGCTTTTTCTTTATTAAAGTCTTCTCTCTTTCGCCGACCACAACCCCCCCCCCCCCCCTCTCTCTCTCTCTCTCTCTCTGTATTTCTCTTTCTTGGCTGTAAAGAAAAAGCTCCATCCTTTTCTTTTTCGAGCTCTCTTTGGCAATGATTATGTGCCGAGAATCCTCTGCTTTTTTTATGCCCAGATTTTCTTGTCTTCTTTGGCCGTGAATTCCGGTCCCTAAATGCCGAAATTGCTCTCATGTGAAGATGGAAACTGCTCTCTCTTGACCTTGTCCACAGAGTTCTTGTCAGTAATTCTGAGCACATGTGAGATTGGACATAAAATTTAAGAATTTTTTTGACGAAAAAATTGAGATTTCCGCCACGTGGCGGAAATCTCATTGCACAAGAGAATCCCAGGCGATACCTCTCTAGTAAGAAGTAATAAAACGGTAGATTTGTTGGGAAGATGGAAAGTGGAGAGAGAGAGAGACTTGGGACGAGTGTTCCTCGAACTTAGTCCCACTGCTTGCACCGTTCAACCTGTCCTTTTGCTTTTGTTAATTCATTTTCCATCAGAAAAATTATTTTTATTGAATATATTTAAGCTCTTGATCCCACTTAAGAATTTAACCCCTCTCACATTAAGCCTATTAAATATCAATGCATGTCGAGGATCATAAAAAATTATCAACATACCATCTCTATAATATATATATATCTATATATATATGTTCATTTTGTACTTGAGCATAAAAAGAAGAATTTCTTTTTTACTCCGTTTCTGCTTTAATTTCTCCTTCAAATATCAGAAATAAATCAAAATACCTTTTCACTTTTGCTTTTACTTCATTATTTATATTTATTTATTTATAGGTTTGATATAAGGCACGTACCAATAATTCAAACTTGCCAAGCTAGATAAGTAATTCCTGGACTGGGACCACTAACCATGCGTTTATGGTCGTTGGCTTCATGCGGTGGAAGTTTCAACGCACAGAAGAATCCAAGACGACCCCGCCTAGGAAGAAGAAAACATATGAGCAATGAAAAAAAACATAAAACCAAATAATAAAAAACAATTGCTGGTATTGGTATCCGTGGACAAGTGGTCATAATTGATAAATACATTCAAAGCCTCAGGATGGTTGCTGTACCGTTGAACTTTCCTTTTTTTATTAATTTATTTTCCATCAGAAAAGTTATTTTGTTGAATAAATTTTATGCCCTTGATCCCATATAGGAATTTAACCCTCTCACTTTGAGCCTGTTAAATGTCGTCACATCAAATCGCTAAACTTCATTTCACTACTAAGATGTTGTATTATTAATGATCGTTTATCCTAAAATCTGCCATATATATAAAGCCTTCGGAGAATTAACAGGAAAACCCTAGCGGCTTCATATCCTGATCCTTAGGGGAAGCAATCAAGGGCCTGCAGGCCGTGCCGTGCTTCCTAAATTGTAGTTTTAGAATTTTTGGTGCGCTTCTTCCTTTATTGTTTCTTGGACTAACCCAAGAGCTGCGAATGTTGAATAAGAATCAGTCAGAGGGTAGATATTTCTATAGCTCTTAATACACGCCTTTTAAGGTGAAGACCACCTTGAAAAACATCAATGCTCAATATTTTTGTCTTTCCTCTTGTTAATTTCTTTTCCAGGTCGGACTTTTCAATTCCGACGACAACTCTCTCTCTAGTTCCTTCCTTGACCTTTGCACATTTTTTTATCTTCCTCGCTCCAAATCCCTGATCTTTCTTCCCCTTGTTGTCGCTTCTTCCCTCACATGCCTGCAAAACCCAAACCCCATGCCTGTGGTCATTCTTGGCGGCCGACGAGCCACCCTCCTCAAAATCACCCACGAGGGAGTGACGGATGCATTGATATCAGCGATGATCATAGAATCTCGTCTTCAGTCATGGGATCGGGACCCATTTCTCTGAAAGAGCTACTACGTAGTGGTCAAGCCTTAATACGAATTAGGTGTATATGGTGGTTATTAATATGAACCTATTTAGGAGTGCTTCTCGTAGTTAATGCATCTCCATTAAAAATAAAAATCACGTTGAAGCTACTATTTAGGAGTGCTCAACTCTATAATATACCCGGTTTGTCAGAAAATGAAATTAGTTGGAAGAAGAAATTAAAATTGACAAACACTAATTTGCAAAATAATTCGTAGGATGAATAAACTATTTAAGAGATTAGTTTCTTTTTCAACACAAAATAGTAATAATTAATAGGAAAAATTCATCACCTTGTCTCTCTCACGTATGTGGCCTCATCCACTGCCCAATATTTTTCTCTGTCTTGGGACAAGAAGCATCCAAAGTCCACATAAGTGCGCGCACCACGTAATTACTTGGAAGACTCTTTTTATTGTAAGTCAACACGCCTCGGGAAAAACATATCGGCTCAAGCCACAACGTTAAGCACTAGGCACAAAAATCAATAGACGAACAGCTTCATTATTACATATTTATATAAATTGATGAGAACATATCTAAGTTAGCCATTTGCCAATTGATAAAAAAGATTGAGCCGAATATATCAATATTGATGTAGAGATACAGAATTCAATTTTATCTTGAACATTTCTAAAGTGTGTAAGGCAGCATGTATCAAAATGTCTCATCCCTCCAAAAAAAAAAAAACTAACACACGCGAAAAAAAGGGGTCATAGACGTCGTATTGCTCAAACTGAACATCCTTGGATTTGAGAGGAACACACTCTCCAAGATAGATGAATAAATTATGTAGTAATTTTCCGGTTGATCTTGGTCAAACCTTAAGTGAAAAATTAGGTGTTGATGACAAGTAAGGACAAGAAGGAAGTGCAGGGTGTGAGAGCTAAGGAGGAAAAACAAAATCATGCTAGATCAGGGCGAAAGATGAGAGGCAGTAAATCCAAGCGAATCCTACATGGTGATAAAGTTTTTTGTCCATTACTTATTTCGAAGGAGTGGCCGGGCCCATTACTCTCCTCTCTACTTCATTGTCAAGTTACCAATTAATCATTTAAACAAATCCATTGATTTCACAATTTGCTAAGCAACCCAAAGCCAAATTAATAAATAAAAATTTTCAATTGTTTCCGACAAATGTTTTTGCTTGGTTTAGTTTAGCGATTGCAAAATTCCATAAACATCTATAGTTTGTCATGTGTAAATTCAAATATTTATATTATTGAATAGAGTTGATACATGCAGTCTCTGTTCATTTAGATTAAATTTAACTTTATATAATACTTAAACATAAATGCACGCGTTTCCTCTTAAATAACGGCCTAATATCCAAAAAAACCCCAAACTTTAGCCTTTGTCCCAATTATATCCTAAACATTTTTTTGTCTCATAAAAAACCCCAAACTTTTACTTTTCTCCCAAATCTACCACCATTAAATTTTCCGTCCAATACTACCGTTAATAATTATTTTAATATTATTTTTTATTTTTTCGAATTTTTTTATTTTTTATTTTTTATTTTTTTCCTTTCTTTTTTTTTTTTTCCCTTCACCTTCAACCTTTGGCCGGTCGCCGGTCCAGCGACCGGCCAAAGGCGGGGGTCGGTGAGGTCGAGCCTCGCCGGTGTTGGGCGAGGTCGGCCTCGCCAGCGGCCAACGGGGCCGAGCCCTTGCCAGCCACAACGAGGACGAACCTCGCCAAGGGCAGGCGAGGCTCGACCTTGCCGGCGTTGGGTGAGGTCGGCCTCACCCGCCCCGGGCGAGGTTCGACGCCGGCAAGGTCGAGCCTCGCCCGCCCCTGGCGAGGTTCGTCCTCGCCGTGGCTAGCGAGGGCGAGCCCCTGCTGGCCTCATCCTCATTAGCCGTGGCGAGGACGAGGCCGGCAAGGGTTCGCCCTCGCTAGTTGCCGGCGAGTTCGAGCCTCGCCAGATCTGGCGAGTGCTCGACCCTGCCGACCGCCGGTGAGGCTTGACCTCGCCGGCGTTGGGCGAGGCCGAGCCTTGCCAGGGTCGGGCGAGGTCGAGCCTCGCCCAACACCGGCGAGGTCGAGCCTCGCCGGCCCCTGCCTCTGGCCAGTTGCCGGACCGGCGATCGGCCAGAGGTTGAAGGTGAAGGGAAAAAAAAAAGGAAAGAAAAAGGAAAGAAAAGAAAAAATGAAAAAATTCGAAAAAATAATATTAAAATAATTATTAACGGTAATATTGGATGGAAAAGTTATCGGTGGTAGATTTGGGACAAAAGTAAAAGTTTGGGGTTTTTTATGAGACAAAAAAAAGTTTTGGATATAATTGGAACAAAAGCTAAAATTTAGGGTTTTTTTGGGCATTAGGCCCTTAACAAGGGGTAGCCATGTTAATAAAAATGCTAAATAGGTTTTACTTACCACCCAAAATGTACCTAAGCGTATTATTCTCATCCAACAATTCATTTAATATAGATCAAATCCTATTAAATAACGAGGGGTTGCTATCTTTTAACATATGGTTACACTTACCACTCAGAATATATCTAAGCATATTAATATTGTTATTCAGCTTGGTTGGTGCAAGATGTAAAGCAAGTTGAATGCCCAATAGTGAGTCCATCCATTTACATAACATTCAATGCAATTTTTTTTATTTAGTTACTCAATAAAACAAAGCTCTTCAAATATTAAATCAACTCCAGTAAAAAAATTTGTATTAAGAATTGAGTGAAATGTTAAAAATCCAATGCATTAATTACTTCATTTTACAATAAAAAGGAAATTATTCTTATATCCACTTGTAACAATGCAAGCTAAAAGAATTATCAATGCTATTTATATACCAACAATCCAACTAAAATGTCAAGGCAAAAAAAAGGAGCGCTCGTGCATTTCACGAGCACTGTTTTTATAGTCTCCAAGGCTGGCTAACCTCAAGCCAAACAACAGAAAGCTTCATATAATTGTTCTGTATCGAAGTTGGAAGGGTGTCATCTCGGAAGTGACCAACATAAGTGAATCAAGCTTTGGAAATGGCATAAACATCTAGAACTTTTACAAGCATAACTTCACCTAGTATAGTTGTTTACTTAACCAGCCCATTACTTTCCAGGCAATAGTTGTTTACTGATTAACTGCCAGTCTGCCATCAAATCCATTGATCAAGAAAAACTGCTGCATGAGAAGCAAAAACAAGGAAAGGACTCATCGACTGAATCTGATAGGCCATACTGCTAAATATTTAATTTAAACAGATAGGACACTTACAATATTTCCGATTGGAAAGACACCAAATATACTGAAGCACAAAACCCCATCTTTATCTCCACTGCAAAGGATATTGAAACATTGATTTGAAGAATTTGAGAGCTCTACAAATGAATCTTGACCAACATCAGTTAAACCAGCATCTCCAGGTACTAGTCCAGGCATGCGAGGAACTCTTGGAGCTGGAGGGAAGAATCGAGTAGTGCGATCTTCAAATGCCAAAGAGTTACCAGAAGCGTTCTATAAAACAAATGAATAATTACTTTCCAGTTGGAAAATAAAAAGACGAAAAAAATGAGATTAAAGCTAAGGAACCAAACAAATCAACAAGTTACGGACGACACCAAACATACGCTTTCTCTTCCATAAACCCATACTAAAGCTGTTGGACTGTGAAATAAGATTCCAAGTTTGGAAAATAAGCATTTAAGAAAACTAGACTAAAATAACTACTTAACTGCAAACGAAGCATTATGAAAGGTGTGAGCCATAAAATATCCGCTATTGGTAATAAAGATCACGAAGTCATATCATATTTTAAGTTGAAAGATGCATACTCTATTCAGTTAGACATCCTCCTCCCAGTTGAGACACACCACAGCTGCCATATGGGACTTCAAGCTTATTAACAGTTTTCCATTCTGCTTAATATTTATACCCAAGTTAGAATGATTATACCACAATGTGCATAACTGCTGCAAGCACTAGCATATCAAAAGCAGCACACTGCATATCCATACTATGGATATAAAGACAGCTACTTTGGAAAGATAACATTCATTATGTACAAACAAACTCTCTTCTCAGCAAAATGTAATCCATGAAGTATTAATAATAAATTGGTAGAAATCTCAAAGAAACAGAATTGCAGCAGCCTCAGCCAAGTTCTCAGCCATTCTACTCATGACCAAGCAGCTAAAGCTTAATAAAAACATAACTAGTTATTTACAAACTTTTCCACCCACAAGAATAATTGAGGCAGATACAAATCATATCATTTAAGAGTCACCTAAATAATTACCTTCCTAATTTGACTGAACTCAACATATTTTACTAATAATTGAAAGAAGCTATTAATTTCGATGAAAATGAGCGTGTCACAGATGAATGCTTCTATATGAAACCATCCACTTAGACCATAGATTCTCACAACGAGTTGGACCCCAGTAAACACTATGTTGTAATTTGTCGTCGACAATTGAAAAAGTTTCAATCATTGATGAAAGCATTAGCAGCGAGGTGAAATTTTGTCCTACACAAGAATGCAACTGAGCACATCAATCAGATTCAAGTCTTAAAGTATATAAATCTATTGAATGAGTATATTAATTCTGTATGATATGAGATTAAAGTAATTCACCGCTGATTTCACCGATTAGATATGAGTCAATCAATTTCCTTGATTCATAATTGAACTTATGCATCAAACAATGTAACATCAAAAACATTTCATGGCTTTGATGTAGGACTACGAGTCCCACAATAAAGAATAAATATTTAGGCATCACATGCAAAACTGCCTAAGCATCACACCAAAGATGAATTGCATCACACAATCTGCAAAGCAAACACTTGCCAATTTCAATATCAACTCTATGAAAAGTAAAAATTACAACTATATTTGTAGACTCTCTAAAAGTTCTACTCCTAGTGGAAATAGGAAACCTCTAAACAAGAAACATAATTGGAGTATATGTAAGATCCTACTACTCAAGCTTAAAAAAAAAAAAAGGAAACTTCGTAAAATCCTAATACTACTCAAATCCAAGTTGATAATTTTAGTGTTTTAACTTCAAGAAGAATCCTGATCCTTGTTTGAGCTTCAAAGTCAATCTTCAGCAAAAACTTGGCAGTCATCTTGCATGATTTTGTTGGTTGCGTCAGGCTTAGTGGATGGTTTGATTGTCTTATACTAAATTCTATGAATGGGAATCCAATTACAATACTATGTACACGATCTTTGTGTCCTTGCAGCCAAATGGGTACATATTTGACAAAAGAAAAATAATTTGTAGCAATATCTCATGTCTGGAAATAATAACATTAGTCGACTTTGAAGTATCTTTATCATTAGTTCTTACCTAACAATAAAAATAACACCATACTTTACAATTAATTTACATCTGTCATGCAATACCAATCTCAAACATTATATCAGATTTTATGATTCCATTAGATGAAATTCACGAACCACAATCCATAGATTTAATTTTTTGTTTCATGACTCATATTTCCATGTGACAACTAAGGGTGACCCTAAGTGGTTATCATGTCATATCAAAATTGTGGCTACCTACTTAATAGTTAACACAATTGATAAACGAATATTGTTCCGAGTGCAAAGCTCAGACCGGGAAACTGTAATCTATCTATCTAAACAATAGTGCCAACTCGATTAACAAGCTGACCTATCACGACCTGTTTATATTTATTTCATTAAGTTCTCTAATAATAATCATCCATGAATTTTGTTTCCATAGTGGTTACAATTTGATGACACCATATAAATATAACATTTCATATAAACCTACGATTTTGTAAGCTTACGACTAGTTTCTTTTCAAACTTATTTGACATTGATGACAATATGCATATTGTACCTATGCCATGTCGGTCATGTTAGGATTGGAATGACCCATTCAATTCAATCTAATTAGTTAAACGGGTTATTCATCTCTTGTAATTTGTTGACCTTTTTAACAAAAGGGTCATGTTCAAACATCAATTTTTGTTAATCTTATCCTGCTCAGATTGACGTATCTAGCAATCCATTGTTAACTTGACATTGACAGACATGACCAATGAAATTGGATTGCCATCTCCATTAGCATCTGATTGTTCGCTGAGCAAGTCTGCTGTTTGCATTGCATCATGCAGATTTTGAGCAATTCAGAATCTTTCCCACAAGAGATCAGAGAAGAACACATTCTGATGATAAAGGACTGTTGCAGGAGGAATTTCTAGTTGAGAAGTACTGAGGGTAACATTCAAGTAACAACATAGAAAACTTACTTCGACATCATGCAGTAAAATCGTTTAGTCTTCAAGTCCCAAGACAACAACCTTGTCATCAGGACGCCAACATAATGATGTTATACATTTACCTGGAGTAGATTAGAATGATTAAGAAGAGCTAGTATTGATGACACACATTGAAAGGTGCAAAGAAAGTGAGTTCATTATAAACAAAAAAGAACAGAGAGAGAGAGAGAGAGAGAGAATGAATAATCTGTTCCCAATAAAATTAGCAGAAGAAGAGGAGAAATAGTACACACACATTAACCAACAAAATGTTAATCAAATTTTTTGAAGTGAGGCAAAACGTATTAACTGTACAAAATAACGGAGAGGGATATCGGTCACTTGATAGAGGATTTCTTTGGGCTAGTAGGTCCTAAAGCGAGGGAATCTATATCTTGTTGGCAGGCTCCAATCCAATAACTGAATAAAAAAAAAATAAAATTGTTGATCAACCATGGAACCTCAAGGTGGATTGGATGCACGTAAAGCTTACTTCAGGCGAGGATTACAAGTGTACTAGTATTTACAACTTAGTCTTAACAGAACCATTCAAGGATTGGCTCAAGTACTATATTGCACTCAAAACATTCTCAATATCCAGAAGACAATATGACGAGGGAAACATTCAGATGTTTCTGGAGAAAAAATATCCTCTCTAAATTTTTCCAGTGAGAATTGATAGCAAGAACTAGCAAGGCTAGGCATCTAATCCTAAGCTCTTACAAATTCGAATTACCAAAAGATGAAGTCATATAGGATCTTAAAATACTTGGATACAGCTCCCCTTACCCTCCTAGTCTCTTTGCTTTCTACAATTGCTCCCTCCGTCCCTCTCGACCAGATTGTCGTACAAGTACACAGCATAGCTCAAGATATATCCTATTCAAAAGTTCAACTCCCACCAGCGAACTTGATTAATCAGAATGATGTGACGAAATGCCCTTCTGTAATGAGAAGAAGATTAATTAAACTTCAAGCAATACAAAATGTGAGAAACTTTCCGCCTATAGTCTATATTTCAGTATCCACTAAATCTCTCCTTGTAGGGCACACTCAGTCAGTAAAAGAATGCTCAATCAGTAAAAGAAGAGGAGCCAGCAGTAAAATTACATTGTGAGAGTCACCATCAGAAATCTAAGAAGATCCTTTTAGATGCCTGATGAACATTTAGATGGTATTCTGCAGGGGCTAAACCTGCAAACTCCAAGTGTGCATCAAGCATTTCTGCATCTGACATATCAAACCTATCAAGCATAGAGGACGTCCCCTCCAATTCATGTTCTTTAATTTCATGGACGCTTTGACTGGTGTACCGAAAAGGGTAACAACTCCTTAGTTCTCTAGATCTCCATTCGCATCACCATCATTCACTCTTCGTTTCTGTGTAAAAAGACCAACTCCTCAATTCGATGTCACCTTCTCATTTAGACTTCCAAGCGCTTCATACCTCTATATTCATCCAATTCTCCATCGAACGCAATTCGAGCTAGATCGGCAATTATAGATGCTCCTATGGCGAAAAAGGAAGCGAAGCACATTTAGGAAAAGCGAAAGAAGTAAAAAGAACTTTCTTGACAACATCTTTATCTCCACTACAAAGGATATAGAACATTGCTTTGAAGAATATGAGAGCTCAACAAATGAATCTGGACCATCATCAGTTAAACCAGCACCTCTGGGTACTAGTCCAAGCATGCGAGGAACTTTTGGAGCTGGAGGGAAATATCGAATAGTGCGATCTTCAACGCCAAAGAGTTACCAGAAGCGTTCTATAAAACAAATGAATAATTACCTTCTGGTTCAAAAATAAAACGATGAAAAAATATGAGATTAAAGCTAAGGAGCCAAACAAATCAACAAGTTTCAGATGACACCAACGCTTTCAAATTTTTTTCCATAAACCCATACTAAAGCTGTTGGACTATGAAATAAGAATCTAAGTTTGAAAAAGAAGTTTTTAAGAAAAAGAACTCCTTAACTGCAAATGAAGCATTATGACAGGTGTGAGCCATAAAATACTCGCTATTGGTTATAAAGATCACAAAGTTGTATCAACTTTTAAGTTGAAAGATTCATACTCTATTCACTTGGGCATCCTCCTCCCAGTTGAGACACACCCCAGTTGCCACATGGGACTTTAAGCTTCTAAACAGTTTTCCATTCTGCTTAATATTTATACCATGTTAAAAATGATTATACCACAGTGTGCATAACTACTGCAAGCACTAGCATATTAAAAGCAGCACCCTCATATACATAGTTCCACAAAGACAGCTACTTTGGTAAGATAACATTAATTATGTACAAGCAATCTCTCTTCTCAGTAAAATGTAATCCATGAAGTGGACGATTAGCAATAAACTGGTAGAAATCTCAAAGAAACAGAATTGCAGCAGCCTCGGGCATTCTACTCATGACGAAGCAACTATAGCTTAATAAAACATAACCAGTTATTTAAAAACTTTTCCACCCACAAGCATAATTGATGCACATACAAATCCTATCATTTAAGTCTCACCTAAATAATTACTTCCTAATTTGACTGAACTGAACATATTTTACTAATAATTGAGAGAAGCTATCAATTTTGATGAAAATGAGCATGTCTCAGATGAATGCTTCTATATGATGCCATCCACTTGACCATAGATTCTCACAATGAGCTGGACCCCAGTAAACACTATGCTGTAATTTGTTGTTGACAACTGAAATAGTTACAATCATTGATGACAACACTAGCAGTGACGTCAATATTTTGTCCTACACAAGAATGCAATTGAGCACATCAACCAGATTCAACTCCTAAAATATATAAATCTATTGAATGAGTATATTAATTCTGTGTGATATGTGATTAAAGTGATTCACTGTTCGATGTAGGAGATGAGTCCCACAATAAAGAACAAATATTTAGGCATCACAAGCAAAACTGCCTAAGCATCACACCTAGAGTTTCTTAAGCATCACACCAAAGAGGAATTGCATCACACAATCTGCAAAGCAAACACTTGCCAAGTTCAATAAATTATCAACTCTAATGCAAAGTAAATATTCAAACTATATTTGTACTCTCTAAAAGTTCTACTCCTAGTTGAAATAGGAAACCTCTAAACAAGAAACATAATTGGAGTATACATAAGATCCTACTACTCAAACTTTAAAAGAAAAAGGAAACTTCATAAAATCCTAATAATACTCAAATCCTAGTTGATAATTTTAGTGATTAAACTTCAAGAAGAATCCTAATCCTTTGTTTGAGTTTCAAAGTCAATCTTCACCAAAAACTTGGTAGTCATCTTGCATGATTTTGTTGGCTGCATCAGGTTTAGTGGATGGTTTGATTGTCTTATACTAAACTCTATGAAAGGGAATCCAATTACAATACTATGTAGATAATATTTGTGTCCTTGCAGTCAAATGGGTACTTATTTGACAAAAGAAAAGTAATTTCTACCAAAATCTCAGTCTGGAAATAATAACATTAGTCAAATTTAAAGTATTTTCATCTTAGTTATTACCTAACAATTAGTTTACATCTGTCATGGAATACCAATCTCAAACATTATATCAGATTTTATGATTCCATTGGATGAAATTCATGATCCACAATCCATAGACTTAATTTTTTGATTCACGACTCGTATTTCCATGAGCTAACTAAGGGTAACCCTAAGTGTTTATCATGTCGTATCAAAATTGTGGCTACCTACTTAACAGTTAACACAATTAATAAACGAATATTTTTCCGGGTTCAAAGTTCAAACCAAAAAACACAAATTGAATAATGTAATCTATCTAACTAAACAAAAGTGCCAACTTGATCAACTTGTCCTATCATGACCTTTTTATATTTAGTTCAGTAAGTTCTCTAATAATAAATCATACATGAATTTTGTTTCCATAGTGGTTACAAATTACAATTTGATGACACCATATAAATATAACATTTCATGTAAACCTAGGATTTTTGTAAGCTTATGGGTAGTTTCTTTTCAAACTTATTTGACATTGATGGAGATATGCATATTGTACACATGCCGTGTCGGCCATGTTAGGATTGGAATGACCCATTCAATTTGATCTAATTACTTAAACGGGTTATTCATCTCTTGTAATTTGTTGACCTATTTAACAAATGGGTCACGTTCGAATAGAGTTTTCTAATAAAATTTTTTGTTAATCTTATCCTGCTCAGATTGACCTATCTAGCAATCCATTGTTAATTTGACATGGACAGACATGACCAATAAAAATCGATTTCCTAGCAGCTGAATGTTCGCTGAGCAAGTTTGCTGTTTGCATTGCATCATGCAGATTTTGAGCAATTCAGAATCTTTCCCAAGAGAGATTAGAGAAGAACACGTTCTGATGATAAAGGACTGTAGCAGGAGGAATTTCTAGTTGAGAAGTAATGAGGGGGTAACGTTCAAGTAGCAACATAGAGAACTTACTTCGACATCATGCGGTAAAACTGTACCGTCTTCAAGTCCCAAGACAGTAACCTTGCCATCAGGACACCAGCATAATGATGTTATACATTTACCTGAAGCAAATTAGAATGATTAAGAGAAGCCAGTATTGACGACACAAAATGAAATGTGCAAAGAAAGTGAATCTATTATAAACAAAAAAGAACAGAGAGAGAGAGAGAGAGAGAGAGAATGAATAATTTGTTCCCTATAAAATTAACAGAAGAAGAGAAAAGATAGAGGGCAGACATTAACTGACAAAGTGTCAATCAAAATTTGTGAAGTGAGACAAAACGTCATAACTGTACAAAATAACTTAGAGGGATATCGGTCACTTGATATGGGATTTCTTTGGGCTAGTAGGTCATCTAAAGCAAGGGAATCTATATCTTGTTGGCAGTCTCCAATCCAATATCTGAATCAAAAAAACAAATCTTGTTGTTCAACTATGGAACCTCAAGGTGGAGTGGATGCACGAAAGCTTACTTCAGGCGAGGATTACAAGTGTACTAGTATTTACAACCTAGGATCTTAAGAGAAACCATTCAAGGATTGGCACAAGTACTATAGTGCACTCAAAACGTTCTCCATATCCAGAAGACAATATGACGAGCGAAGCATTCAGATGTTTCTGGAAAAAAAATCTCCACTCTAAAGTTTTCCAGTGAGAATAAGACAGCAAGAACTACCAAGGCTGGGCATCTAATCCTAAGCTCTTACTAATTTGAATTACCAAAAGATGAAGTCATATAGGATCTTAACATACTTGGATGCAGCTCCCCTTACCCTCCTAGTCACTTTGCTTTCTCCAATTCCTCCCTCCGTCCCTCCCGACCAGATTGTCATACAAGTACGCAGCAGAGCTCGAGATATATCCTATTCAAAAGTTAAGACTCCCACCAGAGAACTTGTATTCCCATCATTCACTCTTCATTTTTGTCGGTAAAACACCAATTCCTTAAGTCCAACGTGGTCTTCTCATTTAGACATTCAAGCACTTTACCTCTATGTTCGTCCAGTTCTCCATCGAATGCAATTTAAACCAAAAGTAGCACATATAGGATAAAAGCGAAAGAAGTAAAACGAGATAAGGCCAATGAGTCAGAGGGCACAGGAAGCCATCGTTGAAGAAACGAACACACGGAACAAAGAAAAAAAGAGAACTTTTCTCGATTCGAAGCAATCACCGGGAGAGATTGTCCACAGCCTCTGCCAAATGAAGCGACGAAGCACCCCGCCTTCCCGTGAGTCCCTCCGTGCGACCATGGCCAGCAAATCCTTCTCCGGAATTCCACTCAATTCACGCCATCTTCACCTGCCAACCGCAAAATCGAGCCACAACCTCACAAAACGGAATCGGAACAATCAAATCGGCCACGCCCATTAGGAGGTCGCGACAGGAACGCCCAAACGGGAGCCGAACCTGAGAAGCGCACGCCGCGACCCTTCTTCGTCGGTCTCCATCAGCTCGAAAAAGCTCCGGGGCAGCCGACAATGCAGGAGCCAACCAGCTGCTGGAGCGAACCGCGAGGGAGTGTACAGAAGCGTCCACGGCTAGTGAAGAATAGAGCTAGTGAAGGAAGTCCCAGTGGAGTCTTCCAGAATTTGCATAGGAAAAAATTGCAGAAACGAGGAACGAATAGGCGGGCAACAAAATAAGGAATAGATAGACAGAGTTTTGATTAATGGGCGGACCCGACCAAGGCCGAATCGGGCCAAAACTACCCCTTCGAGGCCCGGGTCCCCGGCCCGACGGACTACTGATCAAAATAATTTAGAAAATATTTTCCTAAACACTTTCATCATTAACATTAATTGGTTCCAAAATATTTTTTTTATTGATAATGAGAATATTTCCCGTTACCTCTTTTCCTAAGATATATAAATGATCGAAATTAGGAAAATCTTTTCTAAATTATTGATTTTTCGCGATACGAACGGAACCTTAGAGAGTGTGTCTTTGTATGAGCTAATTTGCTCCGAGCGTTTTGTAGTGGCGTGAGAAGTTCAATTGTAATAGTGAGGTGCGGTCTTTCGCTACTCATAGTGTATATTAGGGGTGTGAGGCAATCATTTTTTGTGAGTGTTATGTTTGTACCGGTATATGCGTGTTTTGAGTTTTCTGTTACAATTTCATCGTATTACTAGCACCTCGCTTTCGCACCTATCAATTGGTATTAGAGCCATGCTTCCGTACTCAATAAGTGGTATCAAAGCTACACGGTCAGGGATAGGCCGGACTTCGCCCAAGTCTTTTGTCCATCGGCCAAGTCGAGGTGAGCGATGACGTCATCGGGAGGATTCTGACGGGTAGCCCTGTTCTTGAATACTCGACGATTGAAAGTTGCGCCCAATGGGAGGGGACGCATCAACATTTAATCGAGAAACTTGAAAGAGCTCGTCATTGACGGGTGTTGGCCACTTGAAGCTAACGATCCGCTGTTAAAAATTCTTGCTCCTCGTTTGTTGTCATCGCGAGTAACATGGCATTTTCCACCGTACGAAGGTTGGAATAGCCGAAGCCTCGCGGTGATTCTTCTTGCTAGTTGAAATTAGAAGCGCTCTCATGAAAGATAAGAGGATTACAAAGAATGTCAGGAGAATTGGTACCGCAAATATCATCACCAGGAGAAGCCTGTCAAATAAGCACCATTTGAATTTTTTTTTACCAAAATGTAAGCTATATTTTTTAACTCGCGATGAACTATGCAGAACCTTGAAGCTGACTTTTATTGCCTGAGCATCTTCGGAAGCCAGCGAATATCTTTCAAAGATAGGACTGTACTGCCGACATCAGACCTTTCAGATTGGGCAAACTTCACAAAACCGAGTCGGAACAATTGAGTCGACAGCCCATTAGGTGGCAAAAGAACACCGGGAGCCGAACCTGAGAAGCCAGCGGTTTATCGAACGGAAGCTGAAACGGAAGCATGCGCCGCGGTCCTTCGTCAATCTCCACAGCTAAAAAGCTCATCGAGCAGCCGAAAAACGCGGCACCAACGCTGGGACAAATCGCGAGGAGTGTACGGAAGCGTTGATGGAAAGTGCGAGCAGAAAGAGAGCTTGGGAAGGATAGAGCTCGAAAAACCCAGAGGAAGGCTCGAGGATAGTTAGGGAAGGATAGTGCTGAAGAGCGAGACCAAGAATGGAAGAGCGAGGGAGTAAGGAAGTCCACTGGAGTCCGAAACTATGCAGAGAAAATTGCAGGAAGAGGAACAGGCGGGAGAGAGAATGAGGAAGAGAGAGGGAAGACATGATTACAGGAGTGGTGGCGGACTCATTTGATTGATGGGCTGGCCGAGCCAGGCCGGATCGGGCTACATGCCGGACTGAACTTGTTGTCCTTGCTCGTTCGTGATGAAGAAACGTATGTGATTTCGGAACGGGCCAGGTTGCCAAAGTGTTGGGTTTACTCGCAACCGCAGTGGGCCACCTTTCTTATGCATCGGTTATCAAATCGAGCTCTCGTAATCAAATTGAACAAAATCTATTTTCCAGTTAGGCAAATCCCTTGCACATAGTGGGAGAAATAATATGACAAGAAAAGGGCATTAAAAGAGTACATGAATCTCCCTAAAATTTAATTGGTTATCAAATGCGATCATCAACTCCACGAGGACTGCTCCTGTTAATGACAAGGAACGAGACCAATTATCGGGAATTTGTTTTTGAAAACTAAATAATTCGTAGGATGAATAAAATATTTAAGAGATTAGTTTCTTTTTCAACACAAAATAGTAATAATTAATACAAAAAATTCATCACCTTTTATCTCTCTCACGTACGTAGCCCCATCCACCGCCCAATATTTTTCTGTCTTGGGACAAGAAGAATCCAAAGTCAACATAAGCACGCTCACCACGTAATTACTTGGAAAACTCTTTTTATTCTAAGTCAACACGCCTTGGGAAAAACATACTGGCTCAAGTACGCCACAATGTAATGCATTTTTATTTATTTATTTATTTACTCAATAAAACAATGCTCTTCAGACTTTGAATCAACTCCAGTCCAAAGATTTTTATTAAGAATTGATTGAAATATTAAAAATCCAATATATTAATTTATCCATTCTACAATAGAAAGTAGCTTTATTTTGACATTAACTTGTGACAATGCAAGCTAAAAGAATTGTCAATACTATTTATATACCAACAGTCCAAACTAAATGTCAATACTTGAAATTGTGGAGTGTGGCATGAGCACTCTTTTTCATAGTATTAATTTACAATACTTTATAAGTGCTAAATTATCTCATTAAATTCAAGAGCTTAACCGCATTATTCTCTAAAGCTAGTCAACTCTAGCTCGTAAGTTAGAGTACTTTGCCTAAATTGCATCTAACCTAAAAGGCATCAAGCATGAATACAATGTATCCATCTATACATATTTACCACTCTAATAGGAAAGTATTAGGTATATTTACCATGTTAACTGTTGCGATACTAACATATTCAGCCTATCAATAAATACAGTTGTCGATCATTAGTTTGACGCAATAAAGTTGACCCCTGATTACAATAAACACAATTTTATCGAACTCGATACAATATTGCTTGGTAAACAAAAAGCAACGCCTGTCTTTACTTTTTTAAGTTTGTCATATTGATAATTCATTATATCCATGCTATTTAGTTCTGTAAATGTTGCTTTAAGTTTGTATTTGCATTGTACATTTTTTCACACTCGTTTTTACGACATCATATCGCACGAAAGTTTGACAAACATCTTGGCCCCCCAAATAAATTTACTTATGAAGTCTAGACTAGGGCTTTTGCAATGTCCTTGGCCTGGATTAAACTTGCTGGAAAGGGGAAGATCTTCATAGGCTCTCTCAATCTTCCTAGAACAGAGCAGAAACCCAATCCTCCGAAGTAGAGCAGCAAGTATGTGCGGCAGGCCAACCTCAGGCCAAACAACAAAAAGCTTCAGATATTTGTTCTGTATTGAAGTTGGAGGTGTCATCTCTGAAGTGACCAACATAAGTGAAATCTAACCTAGGAAATGGCATAAACATCTAGAACTTTTACAAGCATAACTTCACCTAGTATAGTAGTTTACTCAACCAGCCCATTACTTTCCGGGCAATACTGATTTACTGCCAGTCTGCCATCAAATCCATTTATTAAAAAAAACTGCAGAATGAGAAGCAAGAACAAGGACTTATCGGCTAAATCTGATAAACCATACTGCTAAATATTTAATTTGAATAGAGAGGACGCTTACAATATTTTCCGATCAGAAAGACACCAAATATACTGGAGCACTAGCGCTGGCGTTAGGGATTCTTAAGCGTGACGTCGTGGTGGTGGGTCCTGCGCTAGCGTCACCCCGGGTTTACCTCCTCGGCTGTCGGCCGTGCGGGGGTTCCCGGGTTACCAAAAAAAAAAATATACTGGAGCACAAAACCCCATCTTTATCTCCATTGCAAAGGATATGGAAACATTGCTTTGAAGAATTTGAGAGCTTTACAAATGAATCTTGAACATCGTCAGTTAAAGTAGCATCTCCGGGTACTAGTCCAAGCATGATAGGAACTCTTGGAGCCAGAAGGAAGAATCGAGTAGTGCGATCTTCAAATGCCAAAGAGCATCCAGAAGCATTCTATAAAACAAATGAATAATTAATTTCCAGTTGGAAAATAAAAAGATGAAAAAAAATATTATATAAAGCTAAGGAGCCAAACAAATCAACAAGTTACAGATGACACCAAACATACGCTTTCAAAAATTCTTCCATTTACCCATATTAAGCTGTTGGACTGTGTAATAAGATTCTAAGTTTGAAAAAGAAGTATTTAAGAAAACCAGACTAAAATAACTACTTAACTGCAAACAAAGCATTATGACAGGTGTGAGCCATAAGATATCCGCTATTGGTAATAAAGATCACAAAGTCATATCAACTTTTAAGTTGAAAGATGAAACTCCTACTAGTTGAGACACACCACAGCTGCCATATGGGACTTCGAGCTTCTTAACAGTTTTCCATTCTGCTTAATATTTATACCATGTTAGAAATGATTATACCACAGTGTGCATAACTGCTGCAAGCACCAGCATATCAAAAGCAGCACACCGCATATCCATAGTTCCATAAAGACAGCTACTTTGGTAAGAGAGCATTCATCATGCACAAACAATTTCACTTCTCAGCAAAATGTAATCCATGAAGTGGACTATTAATAATAAACTGGTAGAAATCTCAAAGAAACGGAATTGCAGCAGCCTCAGCCAAGTTCTCAGCCATTCTACTCATGACCAGGCAGCTATAGCTTAATAAAAACATAACCAGATATTTACAAACTTTTCCACCCACAAGCATAATCGAGGCACATACAAATCCTCTCTTTTAAAAGTCACCTAAATTATTACCTTCCTAATTTGACTGAACTAGACATATTTTACTAATAATTGAAAGAAGCTATTAATCTTGATGAAAATGAGCAAGTCACAAATGAATGCTTCTATAAGACACCATCCACTTAGACCAAAGATTCTCACAATGAGCTGGACCCCAGTAAACACTATCCTGTAAGTTTTAGTTGTCATTCGAAATAGTTTCAATCATTGATGACAACATTAGCAGCGAGGTGAAATTTTTTTGTCCTACACAAGAATGCAATTGCGCACATCAATCAGATTCAAGTCCCAAAGTATATAAATCTATTTAATGAGTATATTCAATCTGTATGATATATGATTAAAGTAATTCACCACTGATTCACCGATTAAATATGAGTCAATCAATTTCCTTGATTCATAATTTAACTCATGCATCAACAATGTAGTGCCAAAAACATTTTATGGCTTTGATGTAGGACAATGAGTCCCACCATAAAGAATGAATTTTTAGGCATCACACACAAAACTGCCTAAGCATCACGCCTAGAGTTTCTTAAACATCACACCAAAGAGGAATTGTGTAACAGCCCGAATTTCGATGTAATTCCGGGATAAATAAAACTGATATTAATTCGCATTTCATTTTAGTAAGTCTTGCCCAGAGCTGATCACTCTCGGGATACTAACCAATAGGGTATGGCTAATTAAGAAACAGTACGTGGACCGGGGACCCTGTAACAGCCCGAATTTCGATATAATTCCGGGATCAATAAAATTGTCAATATTTCGCATTTCATTTTAGTAAGTCTCACCCAGAGCTGATCACTCTCGGGATACTAACCAATAGGGTATGGCTAATTAGAAAGCGGTACGTGGACCAAGGATCCGATCGCGAAGCGAACACCGATCACGAGAAATAATGAGAGAATATTATGAACCAATGTGGATTGATCTTAGGAAAGGTAACGGATTTGGTTTGGCCAAGGCCAACGATGTACAATCGGATTCGCAGGTGATTCTGCATGACCGAGAGTGCACGTGGCCAACCAGTCCTGAACTTAAACCGGACGATCGTGACCTCTGGGACTAGTGATAATTTCTCATTCTCTCAATGATCAGGACCGTCATGACTTGGATAATCCTAGGTCGATACGCGTAACCTCTAAACAGCCGCCCGTTAGTGAGAGACCCTGAAATTGGAAATTGAGCGAGTTTTGATCACTAAATTAGGCCCGGATTTCGATGTTGATTTTCGATGGCTTAAGAGACTATTTTTGGGAATCTGACGTCATATTATGCTGGCCACGCATGTTTTGAGTTGGTATGGTTAAAAAGTGGAATTTCGGTCCAGGGATGAAAAATTACGGTTTTGCCCCTGTGGGCACCAAGGCTGGATTCGGAGGCCTTTTGAGATTATTTTTCGCGGCCAAGGTCATTTTGCGGTGGCCACGCACATTTAGAATGGTTTTGGCCAAAAATTGGAATTTCGACAAAAATTGGAAAAATAATATTATTTTATTCCCGAAACTTTGCAGTCGATTTTCAAGGGCTTAAAGGGCTGTTTTCGCGATTCCGACGCCATATTATGTTGGCCATGCACATATGGAACACGTATGTATGAAAATTGGAATTTCGCCCCGGGACCGGAAAAATGACGGTTTTGCCCTTGGGCCATTTTAAGTTCCGAATTATTTTGGGAAAATTTCAGGATATTTATGGAGGGTTATCAGCTCAATTATTGGCCCTATTGACCCTTTTGCCCCTCATTTTTGGATAAGATTAAATTAGAACCGTTAGATTAGGGGTATTTTGGTCAAAACCGTCGGATTTGCGACACGTGTCGCCCCTAGGCTGCCATGTTTGACCAGATAAGACTCTCTCTCTCTCCTCTCACCCTCACTCACAGCCAGAACATCCCCAGCAGCCCCTCTTCAGTTTTCTCCCCCATTTTTCTCTCTTTTCCTCTCTTGTTTGGCTCGCCGGAGCTCGTCGCCGGCCACCGGAGAACCGCCGCCGACCACCGTGCCCCGCCGTGGACCACCTCAGGCCCCTCAGCCTCAGCCTTGCCCTGGCCGACCCTTTATCTCTCCCTTTCTCTCTCTTTCTCCTTCTTTTTCTCTTTCCCGTCCGGCAAAAAGGGCCGCCGGAGCTCGGATCGCTGTTCCGTCACCACCCAGCTGTCCAGCCTCGCCGTACGACGCCGGCCGTACCTGTCCGTACGGAAATTACTGTAGTAGTCCGTACGGAAGTTGCTGTGTCATCCCGTCCGTACGGGTCGCTGTTCACGCCGTCGCCGGGAATTCCGCCGCCGGTTTCACTGTTCACCAGTGATCGGCCGCCGTTCCCCGTCGTCGTGACCTCGGATTAAGTGAGTAAAATTCCTAAACCCGGATTAGGACTGTTAGTGCGTTTTTCTGGACTGATTTAGGTATTATCGGTACATTTTGGACTGACTTAGATAGTATCAGTGTGTATTTCAGACTGGATTGAGGACTGATTAGTGGAAATAAAATCCGAGGAATTTAGTGGGATTGGTATGGACAATTATTGGGCCCGGATTGAGGAAATAGCGGCTGTCCATGTTTTTGAGGAATGTACCGGATTATAATGGACAGCAAGAATTATTAGCTGAATCGCCGGGATTACCCAGAATGATTGGCTGTTGATTGATTGGTGATCAATTAAATTGTGAAATGCCATATTGCGTGCTTGTGTGGCTGAATCGTGCGGAGTGTGATTGGCCAATTGATGGCTTGAATTGTGTATTTGGAATTGGGCCGCACGGTATTAATAGGCCAAGTAAGCACGTGGCTTGTGAATTAGGCACCGTGGAATGACTCGATTGAACCGTGTGCCTCGTGCCTATGTTATGTGGATGCTCATGTTGCATTTCATGGCACGCATTATGAATGCTGAGAATGAGGCTTGTGATGAAATTGTGTGAGACTGCGTGCCTCTCATGAGCATGTGATCACCTAAAATACCCTGATGCGTGTTACGCGGGGTTCAGATAATAATGGGTTGTGTGATCACCTAAGGGCCTTCGGGTCGTGACCTTCGAGTCGATGCCGTGTAACAGTCTGAATTTTCGATCCTTTTCCCGGGATTTAGGAAATGAATTTGACCAATGCACTTATAGTGAGATCTCACCCGGAAATGCGCATTCACGGGATGCTAACCTTAGGGGTAGGGCCGTTACGGGATTGAGTTCGCACGACCAAAGAACTCGACCTAGGTTCGATCTTCGACCATATGGATTGACGAGGGAATGTTTTGAGCCAACCGAGACCGGTCTACTTGATTGATCGTGTCCGAAGGGAACTAGCGACAGACCCTCGCAATTATATGACAACCGAGGTCGTCCCGGGTGGAGTAAACTTAAACGTGATTTGACTTAGTGTCGGTCACGGGTCGAGAGCGCGTAATTCCAGAGAGCCACCCGTTAGCCAGAGATAAGCTAAAGTTGCGATTGCTCGATTTTAGTCATTTCTTGGAATTCGGGCCCGGGAATCGAGAATTTTGAAAGTGACAATTTTGGACGGCCGATGACGTTTTTGGCTTGGCCAACCTTGGGGCCAACCATTTCTGCAAAAAAATGGATTTCGGTTCGGGATCGGAAAAATTACGATTTTGCCCCTGTGGACACCGATGTTGGATTTTGAGGCCGTTTGAGGTTATTTTTCGCGGCCAAGGTCATTTTGGGGTGGCCACGCACATTCAGAGTGGTTTTGGCCAAAAATTGGAATTTCGACAAAAATTGGAAAATTATTTTTTATTTTATTCCCGAGACTTTGACGTGGATTTTCGAGGGCTTGCGCGATGAATTTCGCAATTCCGATGCCATATTATGTTGGCCACGCACATATGGAACACGTATGTGCGAAAATTGGAATTTCGGTTCGGGATCGGAAAATTACGAAAATACCCCTAGGCCATTTTTAATTAATTCCGAAATTTGGATTAATTTTGGGATTAACCAAGGTGAGTTAGGCTTAACTCAGGTCTGGTCAACCATGGTTAAGAGCAAATGACCATTCTACCCCTAAATTATTGGATGAGAAGGAAAGAAAGCCATTGGATCAAGGGCAAAATTGTCCAATTGGCCTAGATTGAGACACTTGGACTCCACTAAGCTATCTTTGACCCATTTGACTAGATAGTCTTCTCTCTCTCTCTCTCGTGCAGACCCATTCGGCCATTTTCCCATTTTTTTTTCCTCTTCTTCTTCACGTTTCTGGTTCTGCAGATTACGTTTATGCT